GTACTATTTTTCCTCAAGAACCTATAAGTGAGACTCATCTTGAGATTTTCTTTGTTTTTTATCTCAATGGTTAGAAACTTTACTGGGGGAGAGAGCATCCTGGAAGATGGTGGAATAGGAGGTTTCTACTGTCACTTCCTCCCATGTTCACACCAAGGCAAACACTACATATTATACAATTTACTCTGAAAATGACGTGAAGAATGGCAGAGCAGATCTTACACAATTAATGAGCTTTGAAAATCAGTGGGACTTAACTACGGGAGAGCAGAGCTGAGGGAGGCCAAGTCTCTCCTCTTGGAAGGCTGGTATGCTATGTCAGTCACTGACACACAGCACAGAAACAGTAGTTTGAAAAGCACCTGGGTTATGCCTGAAGGAAATATAATGACTAACTGGAGGATGTGTGCTGGGGTGGGAATCTGCAGGAGCTTTCTTCAGGGAAGGTGGGTCTGGCAGGTGCCATCTTTCTTGCTCTGCCACAGCCCAGCTGGTTAGACACTTGGAGAACCAGTTTTGACATTCTCCATCTACTATACCAGCACCACTTGCCCTGTCCTGGCTTTCCTTTGCAGACTCACCCTAACCAACCCAGTCACTGTCTCAGGTGCCCCTCCAAAGCAACTCCTGCACCATTATACTCTGCAGAGAGCCTCAGTCAGGACTAACATCCCCCAAAGAGCAACTACCACCCCTCTATATCTAGTGATGAGCCTCAGCCAGGAATAGTGCCTTAACAGAGTGTTTCCCACCTGCGGAGAGGAGGAACTAGCCCCACCCACCAGTATGCTTGCAGTAGACACCAGCAGTAAAATCCAGGCTTCTCAGGCAGGAGCGCTGGGGATAAGCCCTTTCTCCCACTGTGCCCATAATTGCTCAGCAAGCCTTTGCTGACAACCAGACTGAGGGCTGCCCCTGCCCATCAGTGCACCTGCAAAGGCTGTAACCAAGCCTTTCAGCCAGCAGCACCAGGAATGAGCATTACAAGCCAGTATGCCCACATTCTACCACCTGGCCAATCATTGATGACATCCAGACAGAGAGCCAGCCCCACCCACCAGTCCAGCCACAACAGGAGGGTACATATATACCACACATGGGACAGCCCTGGAGTGTCTGGTTCTGGTAGCCAGGGGGCATTGCCGTACTGGTCACCACATGATACCTACTATAAAAGGCCATTACCTTCAAGATCAGGAGACAGAGTAGACTTACCTAATACATACAATAACACAGTGATTCAGACAAAATGAGGAGGCAAAGAAATAAGTTCCAAATGAAAGAACAAGATAAAATGCCAGAAAAAGAGCTACATGAAATGGAGATAAGCAATCTACCTGATAAAGACTTCAGAGTAATGGTCATAAAGATAGCAGACTGGAAAGAAAGTAGAGTAACTCAGTGAGAACTTCAACAAAGAGATAGAATATATGAAAAAGAACCAGTCAGAACTGAAGAATACAGTACCTGAAATGAAAAATACAACTAAAGAAATCAAAAGCAGATTAGAGGATGAAGAAGAATAAATCAATGAAGACAGGGAAATGGAAAGCAACCAAGCTACAATAGCAAAAAGAAAGCAATTTTTTTAAATGAGAAGTAGTTAAAAGAGCTCTGCAACAACTTCAAGTGAAACAATACATGCATGATAGGGGTTGCAGAAGAAGAGAAAGACAAAGGGACTGAAAACTTATTTGAAGAAAAAATAGCTGAAAACTTCCCTAACTTGGGGAAGGAAACAGATATACAGGTCCAGGAAACACAGAAAGCCCCAAACAAGATGAACCTTAGAAGATCCACACCAAGACACATCATAATTAAAATATGAAAGATTAAAGATAAAGAGAGAATCTTAAAAGCAGCAAGAGAAAAACAAACAATTACATACAAGGGAAATCTCATAAGGATATTGGATGATTTTTCAGTAGAAATTTTGTAGGCCAGAAGGGAGCAAGTGGCATGATATATTTAAAATACTCAACGGAAAAATCCTACAACCAAGAATACCCTACCCAGCAAGATTATCATTCAGAATTGAAGGAGAGATAAAGACTTTCCCAGTCAAACAAAGGTTAAAGGAGTTTGTCACTAAACATGCCATATAAGAAATGTTAAAGGAACTTCCTTAAGTGAAAAAGAAAAGGTCACAACTAGAAGAAAGAATGAAAGGAAAAAAATTTCACTGGTTAAAAACATACAGTAAAGGTACTAGATCAATCACTTATAAAGCTAGTGTGAAGTTCAAAAGACAAAAGTAGTAGAACCAATCATATACACAAAAATTAGTCAAGGGATATACAAAATAAAAAGATGTAAATTTTGACATCATATGTATAAAATATGGAAGGGGGAGTAACAAAAAAGTAATGCTTTTAGAATGTGTTTGAACTTAAGCAACCATCCACCTGATATAGACTACGATTTGTATTGGATGCTGTGTATGAACCTCATGGTAACCACAAACCAAAAACCTATAAAAGATACACACAGAAAAAGAGAAAGGAACCCAAGCACTAAAGAAAATCATCAAATCAAGAGAGAAGAGAGCGAGAGAAGAAGAAAGGAACAGAGAGAAACTACAAAAACAATCAGAAAACAGTTAAAAAAAAATGGCATTAAGTACATACGTATCAATAGTAAATACCTTAAATATAAATGGACTAAATGCTCTAATCAAAAGGCATGGAGGCAATGAATGGCTTAAAAAAAAAGAACCAAGACTTATCTATGTGCTGCTTACAAAAGACTCACTTCAGACCTTAAGGCACATACAGACAGAAAATGAAGGGATGGAAAAACATATTCCATGCAAATGGAAGTCAAAAAAAAAGGCTAAGTAACAATACATATATCAGTCAAAATGGACTTCAAAACAAACAATGTAACAAGACAAAGAAGAGCATAACATAATGAAAAAGGGATCAATCCATCAGGAGGATATAACAATTATAAATATAAATGCATCCAACATAGGAGCACCTAAATATGTAAAACAAATACTCACAGACATAAAGGGAGAAATTGACAGTAATACAATAATAGTAGGGGACTTCAACATCTCACTTACATCAATGAATTGATCATCCAGACAGAAAATCAACAAGGAAACAGTGACTTTGAATGACACATTAGACCAGATGGACTTAACAGACATCTACAGAACAAGTCCACCCAAAAGCAGGATACACATTCTTCCCAAGTGCACACAGAATGTTTTCCAGGATAGATCACACGTTAGGTCACAAAACAAGATTCAATAAATTTAAGAAGATTGAAATTATATCAAGCATCTGTTCCAACCACACGGTGTGAAACTAGAAATCAATTGTAAAAAACAAACATCTTCAGGCTAAACAGCTACTGAACAACCAATGGGTCAACAAAGAAATCAAAGAGGAAATAAAAACGTATGTGGAGACAAACAGAAACAGAAACACAATGACTCAAAATCTATGGGATGCAGTGAAAGCAATTCTAAGAGGAAAGTTTATAGTGATAGAGGAATACCTCAAGAAAGAAAAATCTCAGAAAAACAATCTAACCTTATACCTAAAGGAACTAGAAGAAAAGAACAAAGTCCAAAGTTGGTAATAGGAAAGAAATATTAAAAATCAGAATGCAAATAAATGAAATAGAGAGTAAAAAAGTAATACAAAACATCAGTGAAACTAAGAGCTGGTTTTTTGAAAATGTGAACAAAATTGATAAACTTTTAACCAGACTCATAAAGAAAAGAAAGAGGACTCAAACAAAATCAGAAATGAAAGAGAAGTTACAACTGACACCACAGAAATGCAAAGGATTATAAGAGAAATCTATGAAAAACTATATGCCAACAAACTGGACAACATAGAAGAAATGAATATATTCCTAAAAACATACATACTTCCAGGAGTGAATTAGGAAGAAACAGAAAATCTGAACAGACTAAACAGATCCAAAAACTATAATAATTGATTAAAGAAATTGAAGATAACACAAATAAATGGGAAGATATACCATGCTGATGGATTGGAAAAATTAATATTATTAAAATGTCCATATACTCAAAGCAGTATACAGATGCAGTGCAATCCTTACTAAAATACTAATGGCATTTTTCACAGACTAACACAAATAATCCTAAAATCCTAAAAAAAATCCTAGAGCCTTATTTCTCAGCCCCATGTATTGAAGAGACTTTTGTGGTTCTAAAGCATTTCAGGCCGTGGCTCCAGTTATAAGATAAATAAGCAATGGGAATAAAAACTGCAGCATAGGGAGTGTAGTCACTAATATTGTAATAACTTAGTATAATCACAGATGGTAACTTAACTTATTGTTGTGAGCATTCTGTAATGTATAAAAATGTCCAATCACTATGTACAACTTAGACTAATACTAAATTAATGATACAATAAAAAACTTTAAAAAAAAGTTAACTCATGAGAGCAAACTCATAAGATTTTATCAAATTTTTTTAATGGAGAAGGCAATTAAAGCTGCTATTAGTTTTGTTTTAAAAAATTGTATTCCACTTTTGCCTCCATTTTGTCAGTGATTCAGAGGAAACTTTTTCTTATGATTAAGCAGACAGAATATGTTTATGTTACTGAGTGCCCGTTATATACCAGGTAAAGTCTCTTCTCTATCTTATTATTCTTCCAAACATCTGAGAATGTAGATATTATTGTACTCTCCAGCTAGATGGGAAAGTGGAGGCTAATAGATTAAGTAACTTGTCCAAAGCCTCAAGACTAATACATGATGGAGCTGAGATTTGAGTTGAGTTCTGTCTGACTCCAAAGTCCAGAGTCTCTGCCACTACATTTACCTGCTTCTGTATAAGATCTCCTGATTATAGGAATAATAATTAATAATAATAGCAGCTAACACTGAATTTATTTCATGGGCAGATGATTCTTAGTTATTAAGGAAAATGAATCTGGGTTACAACAAGGTAAACATATATTTGCAAAAGTCTTCAAGCTATGTTCTTTTTCTTGGTTTCTGCCTTGCAGATCCTTTACCTCCTGCTAGGTTTGCAGTCAGCAAAGAGAAGACTACCTCAGCCAGCTTGCATGTTTGGTGGACTCCTTCTTCTGGAAAAGTCACCCAGTATGAGGTGCAGTTATTTGATGATAACCAAAAGATACAGAGGACCCACATTCAGAAAAGTACTTTGCGGAATGAATATACATTTTTTAACCTCACTGCTGGTAGTAATTACAATATTACCATCACAGCTATTTCTGGAAATAAACGTTCCTTTACAATTTATACCAATGGATCAACAGGTAAGACCTCTTTACAGATTATTGAGAATTTCATAGCCTATGCTTCTTTTGAAATTATATTAAATTCAAGAAATGGGAGTAAGAATGTCCCCAGACCATAAATTAGATAGATAGATAGATAGATAGATAGATAGATAGATAGATAGATAGATAGATAGATAGATGATAGATAGATAGATAATTGATTGATTGATAGATAGATAGATAGATACATAGATAGATAGATAGATAGATATAGACGGTGCAATACAGTTGAAAAACTGGACTGAAAATAAGATGGTGTGGCTGTCCTGCAAGCTTGCTGGATGATTTTGAACAAATCATGGAATTTCTCTGGGACTGCAATTCTCTCCAAAATGAAATAAATGTTTCCTAATGGCCCTTTAACTTGCATCTTAAGCAACAGCATTTTCTGACTCAGTTCCTGAGTTTGTGCCATAAAACTGATTTCTCAAATGTTTTCCTCCTTTTTATATTTTTCTCAAAACATCAAGTAATGATGTTTCTTAAATATCCCTATCTTTGGAACAAGTCTTTACTTGCCCCTGAACATCCTGACATCAGTAACATATTAGCATCCCTGTCTGTATAGTACTGTCTTACCATTCACTCTCCCCTCATTTTCTTCCCTGCTTTAGTGCTCTTCTTGTTTTTTTTTATCTTCCATAGATCTTTCCTTTTCCCCTTTCACTTTACCGTTGTGCCACATTGGCAGAAAACCACCTTAATACCTATCAGGTCGGGAAGACAAGTAAACTATGATGTAGTTTTAGACTGTGAGCTTTGAAAAGAACATTAAAAACAGGTACCAGTGAAATGTCAAGAATTCTGTTTTCATTGGTTATTATACAAGTTAGATGTACAGAGAAGCGTAAGTGAATGTGTGATTCAAATTCAGTGTGTCTGTGTCTCTAAAAGGAAATTACAAATGACATGTTGGAAATACATTTCATCCCACTAGTGCCATCCCCAGTGAAAGATATTGAAGTTTCATCAAAAACTAATTCTCTCCTGATTTCCTGGTCTCATGGCTCTGGGAACATGGAGAGATACCAGTTGATGCTAATGGATAAAAGGGCCCTAGTTCACGGCAGTGTCGTGAACAAATATGTTACTTCCTACACTTTTCACGGACTGATACCTGGTCACCTCTACAACTTCACCATCGTGACTGAGGCTGCAGGGCTAAGAAGCTCCAGATGGAAACCAGCCAGAACAAGTAAGTTCTCCTAGCTAGCTGAATGAGAATGAAGCTCAAAAAATGTTTAATAAACAAGGCTTACTTGAAACAGAAGGAACAAAAAAAGACAGTAGACTCATAAACACCGAGAAGGGACTAGTGGTTAACAAAGGGGAAGGGTTGGGAAGGGTGAGTAGTGGGGGAAAAGAGGATTAAGGGGCACTATACATCACAATCGCAACATACGTAGGTCACTGGGATGGTAGTACAATACGGAGAAGTACGAAGAATACAATTAATGACTCTATAGCATCTTAGTACATTGATAGACAGTGACCGCAATGCAGAGGGTGAGGTCTTGATAATATGGGTGAATGTTGAACCACTGTTTTTTGTATGTGAAGCCATCATAAGATTGTATAAAAAATTTTTAGTAAAGTTTTATTAATTTATTTTAATAACTGGTAATATAGGACAGATTGAAATTCATGTTACAGAAGGCACTTAGTATGTATCCACTTTCCTACTTAGAAAAAGAGGGATTCCCTTTTATTCTAAAGTTTAGACTAGCCTTTGGCAACATTCTTAAGTAGCCAAAGTTAATAATGTATACAGTCTCAGCTTCTCGTTTTAGCATGCCAATCTCCTTGGTAAGGATTACTGCTTCCTTTTCTCTTAAACAGGAATCCACTGCCTTCTAACATCATCACTCCCAATGAACCCAGATTACTTTGCTCAGTGCTATGCAAAGTCCTTTCCTGTGAAACAGCCATTTCCCAAATTCTGTATCCAATAAAACGTCCTGGCACCCAGTACTACAGGAGCTGTTCTCACAGCCTAGCATACCCAGATAACTGATCTGTGTAATTTTTAATGAATAATTCATATACTCATTCATTCATTTACTGCATGTAAACTATATGCTAGGCATTATGGACATAACAGCAAGAGAAACCAAGTCTTTGTCCTCATGGAATTTACATTCCAGTGGCTTCTCGTGCTTCTGCAGGGTCTAACATGTTAATAAATACCATCTCTTGGTAACATATCTAATTCTAACAGAAATCTTAAAATATGTAGTTCTTTAGAAATTACTGTAGTGGGAGAGTTCCTGGAACTATTGAAAGTTGGTGGGAAGGATATTTGGGAACATACCTCTCACAGTATCACACTTCAAAGATGTGTAGACATTCCCAACAAAAATGTACCACATATCTTAAGAATTCTGTATGTATATCGAGTAAATTACACTTGTAACTGGCCTGCAATGTGCTGTACCCATTCTTTTAACAAAACACTGTTAATTTATATGGTGCCATTAGCACGGCATAGGCAAGAGGCATGAAAAATATTCAACAAAGTCTTTTGTAATCATTTTCTTTTGATGAAACAATAACACAACTCTTAAGCTTTAACTTTATCATAAATTTAATATGAAAAATAAAGTCCCTTTAGCACACAAAATTTTGTGATGGCCTATTAACCAATCTATGTAGTATGTACTAGCTACTTTTAATGACATAAAGATGGGAAGAAATTAGGCAGATGGCAAACTTCTTTGAGCATTCCACTTAAAGAAGTTCCCACCTGGAAAAGACCATTTTAGGTTTTCTTATGTAAGGACCCCTAGGATCGGTGAGACAGAGCTGCCCAGGTTTGCCTCGCTGACTGATGACCAAATGTAAGTCAGAATCCAGGCTCCTGACCCCCATGTTTGTGCTCTTTCCATTAAGCAGATGGCCTTTCTTTGGTTTTACAGTATTATTTTTGCCTTGTGAAGTCCCTGTTTTCTTCTGTGCAGGGCATATGGTTTGTAGGGATTAAAATATGAATCAAAATTTGGTGACAAGACTAGTAGGATATCCTGAGTTAAAGTCTCTTTTCCTTTTTTCCTAATTAGCCCCCATGGAAGTCTCAAATCTGAAGGTGACAAATAATGGCAATTTGACCTCTCTAAAAGTTAAGTGGCAAAGACCTTTTGGAAATGTGGATTCCTACAATGTTACCCTGTTTCACCAAGGGACCATCAAAGAGTCCAGAATACTAGCACCTCAGGTTACACAAACTCAATTTAAAGACTTAACTCCTGGCCGACTCTATCAAGTTACTGTCAGCACTATCTCTGGTGAATTGTCTGCTCAGAAGATGGCAGTGGGCAGAACAGGTGAGTTTAAGGCTCCAGAATATTCCTTGATTACCCTAATCACTCTCTGATCTATTTTAGAATAGGACAACATAAGTTGGAAGGAAAATTCCGTTCCCAACCTGGAAAGTATAGTCTACGTGACTGAGAGTGCTGTGGGCCAAGGCCCCTATAAAGAGTAAAGCACAGGGTTAATTGCATTCATCTGAGTTATTTAAACAGATACGTTTGTTTCCTGAATGATTTGCATTACTGGCTCTTCTTCCATGTGCTATTTCATGCATACAACTTAAGTAACAAATATATTTGCATTAATACTAATGAATAAAACATTTCTGATCAACTCTTGTAATGAGGGCCAGTTAGCACTTAATCATGTTTTCTATAAATTATTTTGTTATGTCACCAAACATTTACCCAGAGCCTTTAATCTATAAATTACTGTACTGTTAACTTGGAGTTATTAATATGACAAGGTTCAGCAAACTGCACCATTCAGCCACATATGGCCTGTGACCTCTTTTTGCATAACCACTAACTAAGAGTGGGTTATACATTTTAAATGCTTTTTTTTAAAGTAAAAGAAAGGAAAATATTTAAGCTGCCACATTTAAAGTCTGAAATGTTTACTTTGCTGACCTTTGCTTTTAAGGAAGTCACATTTTAATCACACAAATGTAGGATATATACACACAAACATAGTACGTTTTACTAACGGTAAGTATATTGGTATTTCCACGTATCAGGCACTGACTAGGCACTTTATACCACTATTTCATTTAATTCTTACAACAAAACCAAAAGAGAGGTCCTGTTATTATCACCATCTTACAGATAATTCAGAGAGGTCAAATAACTTGTCCATGGTCATCCAGCCAGTAAATGGTGAGGCTGGAGTTTAAACCAGGCTGAGTCCGTTCTCTGTGCCATTAGAGATCCTAAGTAAGAGCCATATGGTCAGAAAGACAAGAGAACAAAATTCACTTTCAGAAGATCAGTAATGAATTCTTGAGGAAATGGCCTTTAACTAGAACCTAAAAAATGTGAAGCAATTTCACAAGTGAAGAAGAAAGAGGGAAGGGCATTTGAGATGAAAAGAATAGTAGAAGCAAAGGCCCAGAGACGGAGGAGCTCAGGAGACTTACAGGTCTGTAGAACATGCCACTGGCGGCCAGCATTGGGGAGAGTGGGGGAGGAGAGAGGGTGGCTGCAGGGAGGAGTCAGAATTAAGACTGGAGGGATCTGAGGTCTGATTTGGGGTGGGGACAAACCTCATGCCAATGACTTGATGTTTTATCTATAGTTATAGAGAGAGAACTTGAATATTTTTGAGCAAAAGAATAAGATCAGAGTTATATTGCCAGGAGATTCATCTTTTCAGTTAGAAAAAAATATTTCATGACCACAACATTCAGAATCTCTACCAAAGACGCCACATCCATCAATGTCACCATTATTAGAAGCAGCATCAGTATTGTCTCTAGGGCTGGCGTGCAATCAGTAAAACACAGTGTTCATATCACTGGGTTATTAACAACATTACAGAAGATTGCATTACTGATAAATTACTCAAATGATTTTAGCATACATTTCTTCGGTGTCAAATATCTCCAAATGAAGAAAGAATACTTATTTGCAATCCATAAATATCAGAAAAGATGGAAATGTTTGAATTGCAGGTATCAGTTCTCATATCTACAGTTGCCCATGAAAAGTGAATGAGTTGCCTTACTTTGGTCTTTAGTATCTCCTTTTTGACAGCATTTCACTTTTCAGTTCCAGAGAAAGTTGAGAACCTGGAGGCAAACAACAACAGTTCGATAAGGTCCCTAGTAGTGACCTGGTCGCCCCCTGCTGGAGACTGGGAGCAGTACCGTGTCCTACTCTTCAATGATTCTTTGGTGCTGCGCAACGTCACTGTGGGAAAGGGGGAAACACACTATGCCATTGATGATGTGGGGCTCATACCGGGAAGACAGTATGAGATAGAAGTCACTGTAGAGAGTGGAAATCTGAAGAATTCTAAGCGTTGCCAAGGCAGGACAGGTAAGCAAACATCAAGGTGTAAATGACCGATGGAACCTTCATTTGGTCCCTCCCCCAGGTAACCCAGGTAACTTACAATGTTGTACCCCGTTGTTGCCTTAATTTGAGATATTATACACTTGCAGAATGAAATAGGGTTGTGATCTCACCTTTGTCAAAATAGAACATTAAAAATCAGTTCCACTACTAACTCATTATTTTATAAAAGAAAGATATTTTAGGTACCAAAAGAATAGGAAGGAAACAATCTGAGAATCATTCCCACAAAGAAGATAGTTGACAACCTTTTGCTGGTGATCAGTGATAGAAAACCATTGCCTTGACCTAATACTGACTAATGAGGGAATCTGGGGTACCAAGGAAGGGTTATTAAACTGGAAAGGGATATAAACTGGAAAGGGTTTTGGGGGCAGCAGAGAATAAGGATCCTGAGACATGAATTTTGGTATTTTTGCTGTCACCACTATATTGTAATTCTTTGGGCAAGTCACAACCTCTCTGAGTCTACTTCCTCATATTTAAAATCAAAGCTCAACATTTCTGTGAAAATCCCTGTGATACGGAATACTCCATACTTGGAGTAAAATTCGAATATCTTCTCTTAGTCTTGCCTGGTAATAAGGAGATAACTACACTGATTCAATGTTCTTCTTGGAAGAATGTCAAAAAAAGAGACCAAGACAGCTCCTTAGCTGCCAACTGTGTCTTCCAGTAATATCTTCATTTTACACATATTAATATCCACTGGATGACGATCCAAGGACTATATAAGGTTAAACCAAGCCACTTGTAGTACTTCACAGAGCAAGCATTTATGTCTTCTCTGGTGTTTTATTTTACCTCAAAGAACTTGGAAATGCCACCAGGAGACTATAGGGTCTCTCAGCATGTCAGCATAATTCTCAGGAGAACTTTCTGAAGTTTACCTTGAGGTAAATAAGGTAAGTTAAAATAGGCTTCAATGTAAACAATCAAGTTTATTTCATTATATTTAAGAAGGAAGATACAGATTTAGGGACTCAATTATGATGAAATTATAGAAACTCTTCATTTGATACAAAATCACATTTGATTCTTTGATTCTTCCAAAATTTTGTTTTCCTGTTGCTTTGTGTGATCAACACCTTTTTCTGAATAAAGTCTCCTAAAAATTGTGATAATAAAACCTTTAAAGAAATGGAAGCAATTTCAATTCTTTAGTGAGACTATAGGGTCTCTCAGCATGTCAGCATAATTCTCAGGAGAACTTTCTGAAGTTTACCTTGAGGTAAATAAGGTAAGTTAAAATAGGCTTCAATGTAAACAATCAAGTTTATTTCATTATATTTAAGAAGGAAGATACAGATTTAGGGACTCAATTATGATGAAATTATAGAAACTCTTCATTTGATACAAAATCACATTTGATTCTTTGATTCTTCCAAAATTTTGTTTTCCTGTTGCTTTGTGTGATCAACACCTTTTTCTGAATAAAGTCTCCTAAAAATTGTGATAATAAAACCTTTAAAGAAATGGAAGCAATTTCAATTCTTTAGATAATGGGAGTTTTTAATCAGATACTACTGTTACATCCAGCTATACTATTATTACCCTCCCTTTCATGGACATATCAGTGTCCCTTCCTGAGAAATGAAGGGAAGAAGCATTTTGTCTTTCCAAGCTATGGAGGTAACAGAAGCTCCTAACTCTACCTAAGTATTCAAACATGGACTTTCTCTGTGGTTTTGTGGATGATAAGATTGAATTAACTATTTTTGTATTGTAGAATTCTTATGAAGAGATAAATGCTCATATTGTAATATGTGGTCAAATATAAATGACCCAGTAAAGTATTTTCAAATAGTATTCTTTTGAATCCTCACTTCTGGTTACATTATAAGAACAAAGGTTCTTTGTGATTAGCTTTTTTTTTTTTTTTTAACCCTGAAAGCTTATAAGCATAAGAAATGCAGAACTGGAACGCTCCTGTGGGTGCAAGAGAATAGCTCTCTAAAGAATACTCCAGTGTTTCCGAGGCAATCAGTGACCCAGGTCCCCACTGCTTTCTCCTCAGCCCCCCTGGCCGTCCTCCAGCTTCGTGTCAAACATGCCAATGAAACCTCACTGGGTGTCATGTGGCAGACCCCTCTAGCAGAATGGGAGAGGTACATCGTTTCACTAGCCGACAGAGACCTCTTACTCATCCATAAGTTACTCCCCAAAGATGCCAAAGAATTCACTTTTACTAACCTGGTGCCTGGACGTAAATACATAGCTACAGTCACCAGTATAAGTGGAGACTTAAAAAATTCATCTTCAACAAAAGGAAGAACAGGTAATACTCTTCATAAATTTTAGACTTTAAAACTATCCTGTCAGCTGAATTGTTTAACATTTGACTTATAAATGTTTGTTAATATGTACTGGACATTGTTTTACGGATCCTTTCTATTGTTTTTATTTTACTAATTTCAGCTCTTAGTTTCTTTTTCCTCTTTGAGTTTATTTTGCTGAAATTGAAACAGAACAGAGAATAATTTTTCCAAGTAGTTTTTTTGCAAAGGAGAGCAGAGAAATTGGTTGTATCTGAAAGAGGAAGTATGTTTGAAGGGTGGATTATTTTTTAAGGATAGAAAAATAACATGTTTTTTTGGCTGATGAGAATGTTCTAAAAGGGAGAGGAATAATGATGATACAAAAGAGAGGCAAGAATTGCTGCCATTATTGTATGAGTAGGCAAGAGATGTTGGGATCTAGAGCACAAGTGAAGGACTTGGCTCTAGAAAGGAGCATGAATAGTTTAACTGTAGGGCCAGCAGGGAAAAATAAAGTATATGGGTACAAATGCCAGTAATAAACAGATGTAGTGGTGGGCTGTTACCTTTGATAACTCTCTTTCCCTCAGTGAAGTGGGAAGCAAGGTCATCATCAAAGACACCCCTTTCCAATTTATATATTATTATTGTCCTATATTTTACTTCTCTCTCCTTTTTAACTGTACAAAAAATTAATTTTTTGTTTTATACAGTCAGTGTATCTTTGGATTGATGCACCAACTTACCACTTTTTTTTCCTCATCTTTCCTTCCTGTATCTCAGAAGTTCCATCTGGGATTGCTTCCCTTCATCCTGGAAAACATTCTTCATAGTTCTTAACTGAGAATTTTTAGAGACAAATGCTTTTGTTTTTCTGGGTATGTCTTTATATAGCTCTCAATCTTGAATATTATCCCTGGGTCACCGTTCTGTGTTGAAAGTTATTATCTCTCAGCACATTGAAGATATTAATCTAGTCTTTCTGGCATTTATTGTTGCTGTTGAAAAGTTAGCAGTCAGTCCGGTTTTTATTTCTCTGTGGGCAATCTGTGTACATGATGGCTTTTAAGATCTGCTCTTTGCCTTTAGTGTTCTGTTGTTTCACAGTAATGATCTAGATGTAGACTTCTTTTTGTTTATCTTGCTTAAGTGCATTGGGATTTCTGAACTTGAAGATTAGTATCTTTCACCTATCTTGGAAATTCTCAGCCATTAAGTCTCTAATATTGTCTCTTTTTCTTCTTCTCTATTCTCTCTCTGTTCTCCTTCTGGTATTCTAGAATGTATATATCCTTCCTATTTTCTGTGTATTTTCTCTCTGGGCTATATTCTGGATAATTTCCTCAGCTCTTTGTTTTACTTAATTCTTTCTTTGGTTCTGTCTAATATATTTTTAAATCTACCCACTGAGTTTTAAATTTTAATTGTTACGTTCTTTACACTTAACATTCTCTTTGGCTCTCTTCCAAATCTGGTTTGTGCTCTACTGCTCTTTCAACACATTTCCATTCTCCTCCTTTATTGCTGTAAGCAAATAAACAGTTTTTATTTTAGACTCAATGTCTGATAATTATAATATCTGAAATCTTCAGGAGTTCAATCCTGTGGTCTGTTGTGCTTGCTGCCTTTTACTCATAGTATTTTTGTTGCCTTAATGTTCATGGTTTCTTTACTGTAAACTCATATACCTTGGAATTATATTCCATGGGAATTCTCTGAGGCTTTGTTTAAAGGTGAACTTCATGCAGAATTTTCTTTTCATTTGATTCTTTCAGGTGCTCAGGGCTACTATTAACCCAGACCTATTTTAATCTAAATTGTCAGGGTGAGGTTTTTTTGATCACTCAGCTTTTATGAATTTGGGTTGCAAACTCACTGAAGCTGTCTTGAAGTTATGAAATCTCAGCAGAATTCCTTTTTTCTTTTCCTAGTGCTAGGGAGGCTAAGGAATATTTATTTCATTTACCCTTAGAATGTAACCTTTCAGGATCCAATGTTATGCTGGGTCATCTATGAGGCTTCTCAGCTTGGGAAAGTCTTATACTTATTTCCTATTTCATAGATCCTGAAAAGCTATACAATCAAAGCCTAAATTTATGATGTCATCAAGATGAAAGTCTGTTTTAGTGACCCAGTTACCTCTCTGCCACTTACTTTTAGGTCTTTGAGAATTCCTCATATTCTTGACAACTCCTTCATGCATTTACATGTTTATATTTTATCTAACACATGTAGTTATGTTTATTGGGATTTTCACGGCAATGTAGAAATGGAAATCCCAGGCATTGTCTTAGACTTAAGATCATTGTCATCATTCCCATCCCTCAGATTTCTGGGTCATATGGTAAATGTATGTTTAACTTTGTAAGAAACTATCAAACTGTTTTCCAAAGTGGTTGCAAAATTTTACATTTTATAGTTCCTGCATATCCTCAACAGCACTTGGTATTGTCAGATTTTTGTTTCTTAAGCCAGTCTAGTGAGTGTGTGGTGGTATCTCATGTGGTTTTAGTTTGTCTTTCCCTAAGGCCTGGTGGTTTTGAGCATCTTTTCGTGTGTTTATGTGTATCTGTTTATCTTCTTTTAGAAGATATTTTCAAATATTTTGTCCAAGTTTTATTGGAGTTGTTTGTTTGTTACTGCTGAGTTTTGAGAGTTCTTTATTCCAGATATAAGTCTTTTGTCAGGAATGTGTGTTGAAATGTTCCCTTCCAGTTTATGGTTTCTTTTCAGTAATTTATTAGTGTCTCTTACAAAAGAAAAGTTTTTAATTTTGATGTCCAATTTATCCATTTTTTCTTCCATGGATCATTTGATGTCATATCTATGAAACCTTTGCCTAACACAAGATCTCAAAGATTTTCTCCTGGAAGTTTTATAGTCTCAGGTTTTAAATTTAGATGAATAATCCATTTTGGGTTATTTTTTATATGTATGTGAAATAGGGGTCAAGGTTTATTTCTTTGCATATGGACATCGAATGGTTCTGGCCTATTTGTTGAAAAGACTATCTTTTCTCTGCTGAATTTCCCTTGCAACTCTGTAAAAAAATCAGTTGACTATATATGTGCTTGCTATTTCTGGACTCTATTCTGTTCCATTGATCTATGTGTGTTTCCTTTTTGCCAATATCATGCTGCCTTCATTACAAAGCTTTCTAGTAAGTATTGAAATCAGATGATGTTAGGCCTCCAACTTTTTTCTTCTTTTTCATAGTTGCTTTGGCATATTAGTTTCTTTGCTTTACATAGGACATTTAGAATTAGAAATGACTCTTCTGATGCCTGTGTAGTTTAGTAAATACATTTGTATCTTATTCCAAAAGTCAACAAACTCCGAGAAGAGTTGAGCTAAGATTCCAATCCCTTTGATTATCATAATTCAGGGAAGAGGCACAAAGAAGATGTATATTGATCAAGTGCTAACTTGAAGATCTGTGTGAAACATTTGTTAATGGTTAGGTTAGAAATCATAATAGTTGCTAATTAGGAAAAGGTCACAAGCCCACAGGTCAGACAGATTAGGCTTTGGACTGCAGGTTGACTACTTGTTAGCACTGGGATACAGGCCAAGTTACTTACATTTTATGACCTTTGGTTTCTTCCTCAGTAGAGGGAATAGCAAAATCAACCTGATGGACTTTTGAATGAGTATCAAATAATATAATTTCTATAAACCATAGAGCCCATAACTGGCACATAACCCATTACTGGCACTCAATAGTTGTCATTATTATTATTACTACTGCTTTTATTATTATTATATGATAATTTAACTTATATTATTATAGCATTTTCATGCATAATGATAATAGCCCTCTTGAGAATGTGCCAGTAAAGAATTAACCAGTTTTCTAGGCTACAACCTAATCATGAAGGGATTTCCCACTACCACCTCATAACAACCATCCGATGCTCAGGTAATCATGTAATTTGAGTTCTCATGGGGTAAGGGCAAATAAGAAGTCCCATAAGTAAGCAATCTTTAAAAATAGCATTCTTTCAATACTGAACATTTAAAATCAGAACTACTTAATAGGCATGCATCATCTCATCCTTGGATCCAAAATAATTTTGATTTCCCATATAAGCAGCTTTTTCATAATGGTCTCCCTGGAGAAGGAGTTCACCATAGGCCACAGAAAATAGAGCTGAGAGTCTAGAGCAAGTATGTCTATAGTGTGTCTTCAAGACTTTCTCCATTTTTGGCTTACTTTTCTTATACTTCCTTAGGGTGACTAAGTGCCATCTGTTTTTTCTTCTTTTTGTCTACTGTGTTTTAGTGCCTGCCCAAGTGACTGGCTTGCATGTGGCCAACCAAGAGACAACCAGCAGTCTGTTTACTAACTGGACTCGGGCGCTGGGAAACATAGAGTTCTACCAAGTCTTACTGATCCATGAAAATGTGGTCATCAAAAACGAAAGTGTCTCCAGTGAGACCAGCAGATACAGCTTCCACTCCCTCAAATCAGGCAGCCTCTACTCTGTGGTGGTCACAACAGTAAGCGGAGGCATCTCTTCCCGACAAGTGGTGGTCGAAGGAAGGACAGGTAAGAAAAGCACATGGACCCTCCGGAGTATATTTTTTAAATTCTAGAATTTTTAAAACATCTGAAAAAACAGATCCAACTCTGACCTTCATAAAAGCCAAGTTTTAATATCATCCAGCTGCTATGTGCTGTTCTCAGGAATGGAAATTGGTGAGTGGGTGAGGGTAGAAGAGAATGAATTCTGACTTTTCTAAAATCTCCAATAAATGCATCATAACTCTCAGAAAACTTTTGTGATGACATGACAGTGATTTGATGTCTAAGTTTCATTCAGTTGAATTCCTTTGAAATGTTTATGTCTCAGTGAAGATAAACAGGTAATGAGACTCTATAACAAACATATTCTACTCTCTTTCATTTTCTTGTTTCAAGACATAGAAATGATCTCCAACCTCTGTGGTCAAATGTTGAATTAATAAAATTCTCAAATCATATGTATTTCATAAGCAACATTAGATAAGTGCTTAACGCTGTTCACTACCTAAACAACGTTCCTTGACTTTATGGTGGTCACAGTTGAATAGGGCAGAGAGCTAAATAAACAAGTAAGTGTCATATGGTTATATGTGTCATATAGAGGCATGGCACCAAAGAAGGAAATACAATTTTCTACATAAGAAAAAGAAAGAACATAAATAAATAATATAAAATTTATGTTCCAGTTTCTTAGAAAGAAAAAAAATTAAATCCAATAGAAACTGACAATTATTAGTGAACCCAGAATCAGGTCAGTGACTTTGCCTACTTAATCTTATATGATCATGTAGGCTAGATTTCAGGTTCCTCCCTCTGTATCTCTAAAATGCTCAGATTCTGAGATCAGCTGCAGGCATCATAGATATGTCCCCGTTTCTTAAATCATGAATCTCATCTATTTAATGAACCCAAGGAACATTAACTCTCCTAAAAGAGCAACTAAGTCATTGAAATCTCATGAAATTTTGATAGAAATTCACTGATGTATGGCCCTTTCCCTCAGTCTGTGGCAGCATACAATTGCCTGCATCCTTCTTCCTTCTCTGTTCATAGTTGCTGGCATCCTCCATAGGTATAGCATAATGGAGGGTGGGGGACTCAAAAGCTTGCTTGGGAATCAGTAGGTCTAGATTCTGATCACAGCTTTGCCACTAACTTAGTTTACTAAACCTCTGTTTTCTAATTCCTCCCCAGTAATTCACCTCAACACTCAGTTTCAGAGTAGGGAATAAGACATAACAAGAAAATTGAGGAGTTGAGAAGGACTTTCATCCATTTTCCAGTAATTGCAGTTGTGTTAGTCAGATTAGACTGACTTATTTCCTGCTTATATAGCTGTACAATGTGGGTGTTCCTGATTGGACAACCCTATTGGTTGGTTCTTCTCCAAGCAGTAAATCTGAGATCCAGGCTCATACCATCTGTGGCTCTTCCTTCCTCTTAGAACTCCCTTCACTTCTCCAGAGAATAGAGGTTGTGGAGAAGGGGAGGACACCAAACCTAGAAGCAGACACATCACTTCCACCCACATTCCATTGCCAGGAACACAGTTACATGCCTGCACCCAACTGCAGGGGAGGCTGGAAAATACAATCTGCTCTGTGTCCAAGAGGATAAGGAAATGGTTTGGTGAACAGCTAGTCAGACACTGCCATACAAGTTAATTCCCATTTTAAAACACCACAGGACCTCCAACTCCAGCTTAACTCTAGTGATATACTAAAATAGTTTGGTGTGTGATATCATTTGAATTACGTTGAGACTTGTAATTATTTTTATACTTATATTTTAACTGTAACAGAGTTATCAGTATTTGAACCACATAATATAACAGAAGTATGTGAAAATGAGAAGAAATTTGTCTTCATTTTTGACAAATGATCATAAAGTTTTGAGGAGAGGGCAAAATATGAATAAATATAACATGAGTTATTTTACTCAAATATGTTAGTATAGACATCATGAGCAAGAAGGAAAATGGGGTACTGCTTTAGAAACATAACTAGAATTTCAAAGGTGCCCAGATAAGTAAGTAATGTGCACAGCAGATTGTAAAAAAATCAGTGGCTTAAAGCCTTGATAATCATTACCATCTACTCAAATTGCTGAAATACTGGTCAATACTGAAATAATTTTAAAAGGTTTTCTCATTCACTTATACTTCCATTGAGTTGAAACATACAAAAAATACACCCGCCCAGCCTAGGTGAAGTGGCAGAATATTTAAAATTAAAGATATCAGACATGTTAAATAAGTCTAATTCTAGTCTGAGAAAAATGCTCATTCTAAAAGATAGCCAAACTAATTTTATACTTATTTTTTCATAAATGTGAATTTTAATTTTGTCAAAACTTTTGATAGTTGTATTTTTTTAAATAAAATACTAGTAGTTGCAAATATTTCTAGCAGCTTTGAAAAACAAGTATAATTCTTTTGAGAGCAACCAAGAGATATACAGATGGTTAAATGGATGAAGGTAGAAAGGAAAAAAGGAAGGAAAGAAGGTATCAATATAAAAGTATTTATAGCTAAAAGTTCAACTTTATATCTAAAACATATCCATATACATGGAACAGCATTAGGAAAGTTATTAAATAGGGTGCTGTTTATAATTTTTGGTGATGGTTAAGTGCTTATAAGTGTAAAGAAGATTTTGTGGCTTAAACCACAAAGTCAGAGCATATTAGGCTAGAAGGATTCTCAGAGTTCATCTAGTCAAATCCCATCCATTTTTCGTGATGTACTGATATTGACAATTAAATGAAACTCTTTATCTGAGGTCAAACAACCAATGAGGGAAGCAGTATGCAGTTTATATATACCATAGTATTTTATTCTGATATTCATTACTGGCAGTATTATTTACTGTGTACTTATTTCTGATGCATGGTACAACCATTACTCAACACCACAATGATTAATTTGCAGACTTCTAGCCCGGGACCTCCTTGAAGGCAACCACATCTTTCCTATGTTTGTATTCATGGCAAATATGAGGTTCTCGGTAATGTTTGTGGCATTAAACCTCGATAAATAAGCAAATGATTACGGCCATTATCACCACAGTAGCTCTCTGCCCACAGTTGGTCCAATCTCCTGATTTGTAGCTTCCAGGATAGGCTTTTAGCTGATTTCTTGCCACTAGAGGGCAGGAAATGCTTTGTTAAGGGAAAACACACCTTTCTGGTTTAGTTTATTAGACTCCCCATAAATAAATAAGTTCATCATAAGAAGATCAACACTATCCCAAAGGCTAAGCTCTTTAGAAAAGCTGTTGCATTCTTCACCTTACCCGTCAAATATCTTTGCTGTGTTGATGAGTTTGGTTCAAGCTGATTCACGTGGATTGTTCAATGTTTGTTCTCTCTCCTACAGAGGGAACATCCTGACACATTCACGTAAAAATGCCTCCACCTAAAATACAAAGAGCAAGACCACAAAAATGCAGTGGCGGCATCCTTGTATTTTATGAGGCATCCCAAAGGCCTCCTTGCATGGCTAGTTTGATTAGCCTTCTGGCATAAGAACACCCAGCTTCCAGAAGCTGAAGTGAAATCCCCGTAATTCCTTGACCTCTTAGGGAATCAGATCCAATCTCCTGAGCCCAGTGTTTTGGCTGACCACGACAGATGACTCAAACTTTCAACTGTGTTTTTCTTTTAAATTTTCTCCCTCCTTTTAAATCACAGTCCCTTCCAGTGTGAGTGACGTAACGGTGAACAATTCTGGCCGTAATGACTACCTCAGCATTTTACTGATATTGACAATTAAATGAAACTCTTTATCTGAGGTCAAACAACCAATGAGGGAAGCAGTATGCAGTTTATATATACCATAGTATTTTATTCTGATATTCATTACTGGCAGTATTATTTACTGTGTACTTATTTCTGATGCATGGTACAACCATTACTCAACACCACAATGATTAATTTGCAGACTTCTAGCCCGGGACCTCCTTGAAGGCAACCACATCTTTCCTATGTTTGTATTCATGGCAAATATGAGGTTCTCGGTAATGTTTGTGGCATTAAACCTCGATAAATAAGCAAATGATTACGGCCATTATCACCACAGTAGCTCTCTGCCCACAGTTGGTCCAATCTCCTGATTTGTAGCTTCCAGGATAGGCTTTTAGCTGATTTCTTGCCACTAGAGGGCAGGAAATGCTTTGTTAAGGGAAAACACACCTTTCTGGTTTAGTTTATTAGACTCCCCATAAATAAATAAGTTCATCATAAGAAGATCAACACTATCCCAAAGGCTAAGCTCTTTAGAAAAGCTGTTGCATTCTTCACCTTACCCGTCAAATATCTTTGCTGTGTTGATGAGTTTGGTTCAAGCTGATTCACGTGGATTGTTCAATGTTTGTTCTCTCTCCTACAGAGGGAACATCCTGACACATTCACGTAAAAATGCCTCCACCTAAAATACAAAGAGCAAGACCACAAAAATGCAGTGGCGGCATCCTTGTATTTTATGAGGCATCCCAAAGGCCTCCTTGCATGGCTAGTTTGATTAGCCTTCTGGCATAAGAACACCCAGCTTCCAGAAGCTGAAGTGAAATCCCCGTAATTCCTTGACCTCTTAGGGAATCAGATCCAATCTCCTGAGCCCACTGTTTTGGCTGACCACGACAGATGACTCAAACTTTCAACTGTGTTTTTCTTTTAAATTTTCTCCCTCCTTTTAAATCACAGTCCCTTCCAGTGTGAGTGACGTAACGGTGAACAATTCTGGCCGTAATGACTACCTCAGCATTTCCTGGCTGCCGGCTCCTGGAGATGTGGATAACTACGTGGTAACACTCTCTCACGACAGCAGGGTGGTTCAGTCCCTCATTATCGCCAAGTCTGTCAGCGAATGTTCCTTCAGCTCCCTCGTCCCAGGCCGCCTCTACAACGTGACTGTAACTACAAGGAGTGGCAAGTATGAAAATCATTCCTTCGGCCTAGAGCGAACAGGTAAGGCTGTATTAGGAGGTACAGGCTCCCTAAGAACCAGCTGGCTGTGGCTCAGGGCCTCATAGATCAGCAACAGTTCTGTAATGATAGGATTGAAGGCTGTTGAGGTCCAAAAGTCGTCATGGAGTCTTCATATTTTGTCCCAAGAAACTCTTTTATGTGGCCAGATGTTCCCGTAGAGTAAGATGAATAGTATTTTCATGGCTAGAACTCAATTATAGAATAGAATTATAGAAAAGTATATTAGCATTCTGTTCAGGGAGTACTTTTTGGTTGTAAGACCCTGTTTTACATATATTAACTGACTTAATTCTTACAAACTCCTTATTGAGGCAGTCATCATTATTGCCATTTTACAGATCAGAAAAGCAAGGTTAAGTAACTCGTCCAACTGCTTATTAAACAGTCAGTGCATTTCAGATCCTGGATTAAACCCAGTTCTGAATGGCCCCAGAGCCTACAAAGTTCTGTGTCCTGAAATCCTTTCTGAAATGTCTGTTTTTGTACAAGGTGAAAATGTACATCTTTATAGTTCCGGGACTAGGAGCAAAATCTTAGCAAAGGCCCAGAATGCCAACTCTTTGATGTGCTGGAGAGAAATGAATTTACGCAGCTACCATTTTCCCACTATGCTTATGCTTCCTGGGGTTTACATCTGAGATTTCTGCTTAAGGTTGACATTAATATTTTGTTAAATCTTTCCTGCTGAGGTATGGACTGATATTCACATTTTTTAAAATGTCATTTTTTTGGACAAGGGAACCAAGAATTCTCAATGAAGAAAAGATAGTCTCTTCAATAAATGGTGCTGGGATAATTGGATAGTCACATGTAAAAGAATGAAAATGAACCCATATCTCACACCACTCACAAAAATTAACTCAGAATGGATTAAACACTTAAATGTGAGACCTGAAACCATGAAACTCCTAGATGAAAACATAGGAGCAAAGCTCCTTGACATGGGTCTTGGAAATGATTTTTGGATGTGACACCTAAAGCACAAGCAACAAAATAAAAAATAAACAAGTGGAACTACATCAAACTAAAGAGCTTCTGCACAACAAAAGAACCATCAACAAAATGAGAAGACAACCGACAGAGCGGAAAAAATATTTGCAAACCACTCGTCTGATAAGGGGCTATTATCCAAAATGTATAAAGAACTCATATAACTCAATAGCACAAAAACCAGATAATCTAATTAAAAAATGGGCAAAGAACCTGAATAGACATTTATAGACATAAATTGGTACAGCTACTATAGAACACAAAATGAAAGATTCTCAAAGAATTAAAAATAGAACTACCATATGACCCAGCAATTTCACTTCTGGGAATATATCCAAAGGAAATGAAAACACTACCTCAAAAAGGTATCTGAATCTCCACATTCATTGCAGCATCACTGACAATCACCAAGTCATGGAAATGACTGAAGTGTTCATCAGTGGATGAATTGATAAAGAGGCTGTGGTGTATATATGCAATGGAATGTTACTCAGCCATTAAAAAACAACAAGGAAATCCTATCATTTGTGACAACATGAATGGACCTTGAAGGTGTTGTGCTAAGTGAAAGAAGTCAGACAACCGCATGATCCCACTTGAATGTGGAACCTAAAAGAAAACAAAACAAAAAAGAAAACCAAACTCATTGAAAAAGAGATCAGGCTTGTGCTTACCACAGGCAGAGGGTGAAGGAAGGGGGAATTGGAGGAAGTGGTCAAAGGTACAAATTTCCAGTTATAAAATAAATAAGTACTAGGGATGTAATATACAGCATTATGACTATAACTAAAACTGATGTACAGTATATAGGGAAGTTGTTAGAGTAAATTCTAAGAATTCTCATCACATGGAGAAATTTTTTTTCCTATTTTCTTCCTTTAATTTTTCTTATATCTATATGATAAGAGGAATGTTAGCTGAACCTACTGAGGTAATCATTTCACTATATATGTAAATAAGATCATCATGCTGTATTAACTTATATAGTGATGTATGTCCATTATTTCTCAGTAAAAGTAGGAAAAAAACAAAAAAATTAAAAGACTACACTGTAAAATGGATTTGTCAAATTTCCAAAACCTAAGTGTATTCGTACTCACCTAGACTGAAAATTTCAGGATCACCTTTGACACATTTTTCTTTGCTAGTATCTACTAATTGATTTCTCCCAGAATGTTTCACTGGCATGTCTTTATTTTGCTTTTCTTTGCAATACCCTGAACATAGGTCCTTCTTACTTAAATTTATAATGGGGATCCTCCCTTGCTCCTCTTGTCCACTGACTGCATCATGCTTAGTATTCACAGCGATACCATGTGCCTTCTACCTCACGTGTCTGTATCATAAGCCTATTCATTCTTCGTTTAGTAGTCATTGTAATTGTTTACATTTCTCCCCCTGTGAAGACCTTGATGTCAGGAGCCACATCTTTTTTGTGTTTCTCTCAATACCTGGCCCAAATAAAAACCTAAAAATTTATTGTTGCTGCTGAATGAAAGACTTGGCCAAAGACTTACAAAAATCCAGAAATATGAAAAAAAGGTCAATTTTTCCATAATGATCTAGGAAAACTGACATCATCCTATGACCCAGTACAGGGTCTGGAGCCTTGTAGGAACTCAAAAATGTTCGATGAATGAATAACCAGAAATCACTTAGATCAAGGGTTTTCACCTGGTGCTCCATGGGAGACTTCAGGAATGTAGTAATGCCCAAAATTGTACATGAAATTAGTGGGGATAGGGAAGATATGTGCATTTCTTTGGGGAGAAAGTGCATGGCTTTTATCAGATCCTCAGTCTCTGTGACCTCAAAAAAGTTAAGAACCACTGATTTATATTATTACAGCATGCTGGCATTGAAAGTGTGCACAGAATGATCTAATCCCATCTCATCTGGGCATAAAATCCCAGGGGAAACTGTGGCTTCTCCAAGCTCACATGGCTGACCAGTAGTCACGCTCAGCCTAGCTCCAGTGCTATTTCCATTACATCATGCTATTCCTCAAAGCACCAGTCAGGGATATGAAAGATGCTCCCTGCCTTAAAATGATTTAAAGTCTAAATATGCCGATAATCACAATGACTTAGATCTGAAAAGCAAACTTCCATTTATGAAGCTGCCTTATGTCAAGGGTTGACCAACTTGGAGCCTAAAAATCACCAGAAATTAAAGGATATATCATCCAACTTCTAACCCCTTGCTTCCCCTTGTGTCAATTCATGAATGTTTCCTATTCATATTACTTTCATTTTGCAAGGCCTCTTGCTAAGATTGTTTTCCAGTACAAGAAAAGTGACCCTTTATTCAAAGCACCCTCTTGACTCTTTACCAGTGTGAACTTGGATTTGGTGCATGACTAATCAAGGCCAACCATTGCCCTCGACCAGTCAGTCTAACTGGAGAGTCATGTCTGAGTTCTTGTCTTGTTGATTTTGGCTGATTGTCTCAATGCCATTTTCCTTTTCTAATGCTTGTCTTCTGGTGAAAATATCACTATTTCTAATTCTGTATCACATCATGTCACTGTGCAGTGAGGCAAGTCTCACCAATTACCTCCAGTTCCACCGGAGAGCCCCTTATTGGCTTAGCATGGCATTCAGCCTGGTTTTTATTCCTGTAATAGTTGCTTTGCCTGTAGTAAATTGCCTGGATCATTGACCTTTCTTAGCCTGTGCATACAACATTTTTAGAATTTCTTCTCAACTCTGTGATGACTAAATTCTAGCAATACTGCAGTTGGTTCAGGTAAATATCTTGAATAAAAGCATACTTGTCCTTGCTCCATATCTGTGGTGAGATGTATTCCAATACAAAAACTAACCAGTACACAAGCCAACAAAGGATAATTAGTGTGACTTGTAGGTGTGTGAAGCATTGTGAAAAATGTAGCTTAGATGACAAATGGTTGAGATTTCCCCTCATGCTTTGGGGCAAAGTGAAAGAGAAGACTTGGACACAGGCTTTGTCCAGTTAGTTGGCTGATCAACTGATTGAAAGAAAAACCATAAGTACAAAGAATTGTTTGTTTGTTTATGTATTTACAGGGGGAGACCTCAGGTGCACAAAATTAGATTTAATTTAGGGATTTAATTAATTTTTTAAAAACAATGTAATGTCATGAGAAGCCACTACCCATAATAAAAAGCTAGGACCTTGACAATAAGCCTGTATCAAATAATGTGGTTCCACTTCACTAATCCATCCCATGGTAGCCACATCTTGACTCCTGTTTCCATCTTGCTTTCCATCTCACAGTTTTATTTTTTATGCAACCCTAAAACTGTGATTTTTTTAAATGCTTGTTATTTTAACATTATAAAAACTTATTTTATGCATCTTTTGGGGCTTAGCTTTTCACTTACATTGTTTTTATAAGTTTTATGATTTCACTTAATATTATGTTGATAAGATTCATCCATACTTGTGTTCTGATGTTAAAGGCAAGAAATCTGCATTTTTGTGGGGGTGTTTTTTGGTATCATTTATCTACAATTACATGAAGGACATTATGTTTACTAGGCTCCCCCCTTCACCAAGTCCCCCCCACATCGCCGTTCACAGTCACTGTCCATCGGCATAGTAAGATGCTGTAAAATCACTACTTGTCTTCTCTGTTGCACAGCCCTCCCTGTGCTCCCCCCACACTATACATGCTAATCGTAATGCCCCCTTTCTTTTTTTCCCACCCTTATCCCTCCCTTCCCACTCATCCTCCCCAGTACCTTTCCCTTTGGTAACTATTAGTCCATTCTGCTGTTTTGTTCCTTCAGTTTTCTTTCGTTCTTATACTCCACATATGAATGAAATAATTTGGTACTTGTCTTTCCCCACCTGACTTATTTCACTGAGCATAATACCCTCTAGCTCCATCCATGTTGTTGCGAATGGTAGGATTTGTTTTTTTCTTATGGCTGAGTAATATTCCATTGTGTATACGTACCACATCTTCTTTATCCATTCATCTACTGATGGACATTTAGGTTGCT